AAAGGACTTGGTGCTCGGTACGTATTGAAGACCGACACGACATGACACGAGACGTAAGTGACGTAACGTTGCCGACGCACGTTGAAGACATCAAGAGGTGTGTTTAAACTATTTATTTGGTTGTAATTCAAATTATCAGGGAACACACAATGGATTGGTCGCTACGGGTGAAGTTTCGTATTTTTCCCACATAGTACACACCTATAGCAACCAAACTATGGTCACTATCGTTAAGTTTCAGCGACCAAGCCTCTAATGGTCGCCGGACGTCTTTAGTGACCAACATCTATATTGGTCGCTAGAGTGATATTATTTTGTTGGTACCAAATCTATGGACCATCAAAAGAAGTACTAAGACTGCAACTGAAATCCAAACAACCATTTTTGGTCCAGAAAATATACAAACAAATTATAATATAAACTTTTCAATTGTCCTATGAATTATTAATCGTTTTGAAATATGACAAAATCACAATAACTTCAAGATCAACTACATCAACTCATTCCATCCTTTTGTTTATTAACTGTTGGGTTTTGATACTCAATAAATTCGGGTGATGATTTAAAACAGATGTCGGATAATTTATCAACACCATAGGCTTGACTCAACCCGGACAAGACCAACACTTTCTGAGGGCCAAAGTTTGAGTTGGAACTTGGATATTAGCCCATTTATTTGGTTAAGTAGGAACCCATTTATGGAGGTATTACTTGGCTCATGTTGTTAAGTTTAGGCCCATTTATCTAATATAATGGTTGCATATATACACAGTTTTGTGTGTGGTGTGGGTGTGTATTGTTGCAAAAGGTAATCTTAGGGTAACCATCCCCAATATTGTTCGCACCAATACGTTCAAACAATCGATAATATTCAATTAAAACTCAAAAGAGCAAACAAATTTCAACATTGATGTTATCAAACGAGTAACCATTTTGCAGGAAATGCTAAAAGATAAATTCAACATCGAATAAAGATATAAACATTAATGAACATATAAGAGTTTGTGATATCACTCTTAATAAATTTAACTATTTTAATATGGAACATCAAGTCTTAGCCCCTATTTGGTACGGATTAAAATCAAATTTTTAGTAAATTTTGATTGAGGTTGATGAAATATGTAGTTGAAAAGTTGTGGGACTCATAAAATATATGGTTAAAATTAATTGTTAACTTGGATTTAGATTAAAATCTAAAATTTAACGATAGCAAACATGGGCTTAATTGTATCAGTATACATTAACCTCTAACGAGTAATTCAATTATATTAAAACTAAAAAAACGAGCACACGAATTCGAAAATTGGTGTTAGTCAAATTAACTATCATCTTACGAAAGGTATAAACCTCACATCTAATAAATATAGGATTGTTAACTAACATACGAAGTTTTGGATTATTTCTCTCTACTTGGTTGACCTATTAAGTTGTAATTCCAAATCTTAAAAATGAGCACGTAGAATTTCAAAATTGATGTTTTCAAAAGGAGGTACCAACTAAAGGAGGCATGATAAGGACAAATTTAAATCGAATAATAATGAAATAAATATACAACATACAAAGGGGTTTGGAATACTCCTTTTAGGTTTTTTGTACTTCTTGATATAACATTGTATTCTTTTAATGGGATAACATCATTTTCATGGTCGAAGATGACATACTTCGAGAAAATGAATACGAAAAGTTGAACAAGAGTGATGAGTGTTCTACACTCATGATATTTATGTCACTTAATTCGTTATTTTGTCATCCTTGAGAGAGCTGTAGAGTGTTTTTATGTGTGTTTTGATGTTGTGATGTAGGTTGATGAGATTGAAGAAAATAAACAAAAGTTGGAAAGGAAAGGGCTAAATTGTAAGAGAT